ACATTTATTGTGGCAGTTATAAACTCAGCATAGGCAGGAGGATCAGGGCAAGTTGGAGGCCAACTTCACTACAAAGAAAGTGCAAGGCTGAACTGCATAGTGAAACCTTAAAGAGAAGAGAGACAGAGAGAGATCTTTAAAAAAGCAAAAACAAAAACCAAAAAACACAAATAAACAAAAAAACCTCCTGTCAAATTAGAGACGGAGGCTGGCCAGACAGCTCAGCAGACTAAAGCGCCTGCTTAGGCAGAGCACAGTGGCTTGGGTTCCATCCCCGTGTGCAGTGTTGGCCCTGCCTCCAGGGCGCGCTGAGATGGCAATTGAGACTGGGCGTGGTGGCATGCACCATAATCTCAGTGCTTGGAAGGCTGAAAACAGGAGAATTACTATGAGTCCGATCTATGTAGTGAAACCCTGTAGACACTGTCCTAAATATATTAAAAAATAAAATAAAATTAGAGACTGACACTCATAACCCAAATGATATCGATCCGGCTTTTGGTGCAAGAACACTTTTTTTTTTTTTTGTGGCCAGCTCAGCCCACCCTGGGGGCCGGGCTGGCGTGGCATGTGGTGCTGAAAATCGAACCACAGCCCCTGCATAGTTGCCTAAGCAGGTGCTTTAGACCACTGAGCTATCTCGCCAGCCCAAGGACAGCTTAAGGTTGTGAGGATTAATTAAAATGATCGACACGGGTCCAAATAAACTGCCCATAAGTCATCCTTATTTCCTGACTGTGGACGTTTCTCCATTGTAAATTCTCAGAGCAACTGAATTACCTTTTCTGAATCTTAGCTTCCTCTCTAAGAAACTCGGAGAGTATAAACTAAAGTACATCTTGAATTGCAGGCTCAGGGACGAGGCACTTGGTTCATTGCCAGAAGAGGGCGCTGTTGTGTTTATTACCATTTAAACAATAGAAGCCAGGGAGATGGCTCAGTAGAATAAGTGCTTCCCTGGCAAGCACAAAGGCCTGAGTTCAATCCCCGTTTCTGCCAATAAAAAAATTAAAAAAAAAAAAAAAAAAAAAGCCAGGAATGGTGGTGCATAGTGCGTACCTCTAATCTCAGAGCTCTGCGAAGCTGAGGCAGGAAGATCGCAAGGTTGAATTTAGCCTGGGCAATTTAGTAAGACATTGTCACAAATAAAATCTAAAATATAAATAGGACTGGGGATGCAGCTTAGTGTCAGTTCTCTGTACCACACACACACACACACACACAGAGTCCTTAGAGAAGGCAGCTAACTGGGCGCTTCTTCTGTCTCCATGCAGCCGAGTGTACGGTCATGGGCATCCCCAGTATCTCCACAAACCTCTCCGGCTTCGGCTGCTTCATGGAGGAGCACATCGCAGACCCCTCAGCTTACGGTCAGCGCCCAGGCTCCTGAGGGTTAGAAAGGGACAGCTGGGGCTGCTGGATCCTGGGCAGGAGGGATGTGGGGGCATGGGGTCCTGGTGCCACCTTGTCCCGGCGGCCATGCAAGTCTCCTTAACTTGTTCTTTGAACCCTGCTCCTGCCTCTGCAGGCATCTACATTCTGGATCGGCGGTTCCGCAGCCTGGACGATTCCTGCTCACAGCTCACCTCCTTCCTCTACAGCTTCTGCCAGCAGAGCCGCAGACAGCGCATCATCCAGCGGAACCGCACAGAGCGTCTCTCTGACCTTCTGGACTGGAAGTACCTAGGCCGAGTAAGACCCCTTCCCTACCCTCAGCAGTCCCCTGAGCTCTGGATCCATCAGCCACCGCCAGCTCTGGATCTGAGTTTCTGAGGCCTCAAAAGGCTGGTCCTCCTACTTGCAACTGTTGCTGTCCTTTTAAGCAAAGAATTGGGTTTTTTATTTGCAAAAGGGTGTGGCCAAAGCCTCGCTTGACAAGGTGGGAGAATCCCCGCCCTCAGTGGGGTGTGGCTCAGAGATTGTCCGTTCACCGGTCTTATTTACATAAGGGGTGGAGCTAGCTGGGTACATATTTGCATAAAGGCTGGTCCCGGGTTCACCACCTAGAGTGTGGGCTCCACTCCTCTGTCCTTTGACATCTTCTTTCCTCTTTTTTCCTAAGTACTATATGTCTGCGCGCCACATGGCGCTGGCCAAGGCCTTTCCAGATCACTTCACCTACGAGCCCCACGAGACTGATGCAGTAAGTGGGGCCAGGATCTCTGCTGGGTTGGAAGTTGAGCTCTGGGCTAGGGCCAGGGCTGGGTTTTTTTTGGGGGGGGGGGAAGGGGAGGGGAGGGGGAGGAGAGGGGAGGGGGAGGGGGAGGCATAAAGATCTAGAAGGGGGCCGAGTCCTCTGAGGACTTTCAGAGTTTCTCAGTCTCTGATTTTGTGTCCACATTTGGGGATGCAGACCCAGGGCTACCGCTACCCACGGCCAGCCTCGGTGCCACCCTCGCCCTCCCTGTCACGGCACTCAAGCCCGCACCAGAGCGAGGATGAGGAGGAACCCCGGGAAGGGCCACTTGAAGATGGTGAACGATATGACGAGGACGAGGAGGCTGCCAAGGATCGGCGCAACATCCGCGCGCCCGAGTGGCCGCGTCGTGCCTCCTGCACCCCTGCCCCCGGCAAGCGCAGCAACTCAGTGGACACTGCACCCTCCAGCTCTCTGAGCACACCTAGTGAGCCTCTCAGCCCCACTAGCTCCCTGGGGGAAGAGCGCAACTAAGCCGGGCACGCCCACTCACCCGCCTTGGTCCTGTCCTCTGTCACTGTCCAGAGAATAGAGACCGCGGGTGCTGTTCTCGAGCCCCACTCCAGTCCCCAGTGGGATTCAGCCCCAGTCGCCTCACACTGCTGCCCCTCCAGCTCTGCTTTTGGAGTCCCCACACTCCAAAGCCCAAACGCTGTGCCTTTCTCAGATTCAGAATGCATTGTCTGTGCCCTGGAGTCCCCCAGGCTCAGACTGGGTCCCAGAGCCTGGGGATCTGCCAGTACTCTGCAGTGGTGCCAGAGGTGCTGGGAAGCCTGGCCTGTTACATTGCAGGCTGAAGCTCCTAGAAGCTTTCATGGCTTGCAAATTCTGTAGCATCCACAGCATGCCGTGTCTAGGCCTGGCTTGGGGACCACAAAGTGCTAGAAACCACGTGGTATCCTTGCTAATGGGACAACCAAGTCCAGAGCTGGACAATTTCAGGGACTTTAATGATGGTCCTCCATTTCAACTCCTCAACTCCAGGAGAGGCTCACAGTGTGGCCTTCCCCGGCATGTCTAGTCCTGCCTGGAGGATCCCTCAAAGCGCTCCTGTGGTCACCCACACTTTGGCCAGGCTGGGGGTGACACAAGCACTTGGCTCTTCATTTCTTCTGGAGAGCATGCAGTCTTGGTTTAGACAACTCTGCCTTTCTGGCCTATTTCTGGACCAGCTCCAACCCCCTTTGCTTGAGTCTGAGCTCTTCTCTGTGTCTTGTCCTCTTCCTGTACCCTCCAAGGACTCCCTCTGCTGTTTACCCTACCCCCAGCCCACCCAACCACTCCATCCATCCTGAAACCACTGGGTTCTAGGTCCCCGCTGCTGTATCTGAAACCTCACCACTGTGCCGCATCCAGGTCCCTTTACCCTGTTTGAGAGCTGAGCCCACTCACTGGGTTGCAGAAGCTCTAGTTACCTCGAGGCCCTTCCAGCCCCTGGTTGTGCCTGGCCCCTGGCTTCAGTGAAGGGAGGGCCCCTCACGTGTGTTGTGCTGTGTCTGACACTCCACTTTGGGTTGGGGAAGCAGAATGGGTGTGCCTGGAGTGTGTCCGGAGATAAAAAGATACATCAATATTTAGAGTCCCAAGTGTCTGTTGTCGGACATGAGTGCTTGGGGGGGGGCCTTTCCTCTCCCCAGTCCCGATTTTAGTCCCTGCCTTGGACACCCTTCCTCCCCAAGACTTGCTTTGCAGTTGGAAGGTCCCAGTGCTATTTGAGGAAGGCATGTCTGACTGCTCAAGTTGGCCGTGATTCTTAAGTGGCAAAAACTTGCCTCACGTGATCTTTGGTGTGAAGTTCTGTCATCAGAAATATCCGCCATATGCATGTTCCATGGCCACAGGTGGCTTTTGGCCGTCCTGTGGACATCACAGGTGCACAGCCTCAGCTTTCTAGGACTCTACTTTTGCCCCCGGATAGCTCTGTTCTCACAAAGTGCCTTCCTTTTTGTTCTGATCTTCACTAGAAGGGCCGTGTGTATATCCTTAATTGCTCCAGATTTGAATGAGCCAGCTTTCCTATTAGTCTGTGTGTGGTGAACAGGGTAAGCTCCCTGCCAATCACAAATGGCCACCAGAAGTGCAGTGACAGGAGCACAGTGCGGGTGGGCTTTTATGGCCCTCCAGCTGGGCCGTGAACAGAGCTCTAGGACAGCACTTCCCCAGCACACACACATTTTCCTGGGTTTGATTTCCAGCACCCTCCTGACCCCCACTCTTCCTGTGCCATGAAGGGAGGAGGGAGAAGTGACACAGCAGTTTCAACTCTCCTTGAACTGTTTTAGTTCCCTCTTGCAGTATTCAGCCTAGTTTCAAATCTTGTTTGGGCTGAGCCCCAAACCCCTAGCTCTGCACCCTTGAGCATCACATGGCCCTGGCTGCCCATGACAGCCTTGCCTCACTCTACAAGCAGCCTCTGGGACTAGGTATAAGTCTCAACTGTCATGCATTTAACTGTGATGACATCAATTTGCCCACATGAAGGGCTCAATACCTCTACCATTCAGGCTCCAATTCTAAGCTCGGCCCAGTACCTAGCTCCATGATTCACTCCTTGGCAGCCCTTCAGGTTACTGAGATTCAATGGTGTCTGGTTCCAGGTAGGAACCCCTAGAACACTAGACCCTTCAAACATCTAGAGGGTACAGCCAGCCAGGTAAGCAGTGAACCCTCAACCACAACACCCCCACACCCACAGGATGTGTTGCCTTTTCAGAAGACAGCTGGGGCCAACACATCTCTTCTGTCATTACCCAGCCTGGACTCATTTTCCACACTGCACACAAGTACATACAATACCACCAGCTGCTGCAAAAGGGTTTATTTTCTTTTGGTCCAAGATTTGGGAGGGGGCTCCAGAAAGGTGAGAAAGCTGCCTAGTGGCTGGAGGGAGAGGGTTAGGCAAAGCCCTTACGCCGGGTGATGCAGGAGCCCCTCAGAGACCGCCAGGCTCTGACCTCCTAGTCATGTTTAAGAGTGAGCCTTTCAAAGAGGTACTCGCCCAGCCCAGCCTGGGGGCTCGCCAGCCTGCGGAGGTTGGTGAGGTGGTCACCTATCTTCTTGATGAGCTTCACCTCCTCATCTAGGAAGTGGTTCTCCAGGAAATCACAGATCTGAAAAGAAAAAAAAAAAAAAAAAATCAAGAATTCAATTCTGAGCCAAAAGGGTGGAAGTGGGCTGGAAAGATAGCTCAGTGGCATAAGTGCCTGGTCGTGAGTTCGATCCCAGGTGTACCGCAGGGTAAAGAAAAGGGGTAGCGACAGTTGCAATTTCTAGCAACAGGATGTTCAGGAGTAAGGCTCAGAAGTGTGCCCTTGGACCCTGGAACAGCCACTTACATGGGGGTCAGTCTTGGCAGAGCCCAAGGCATGAAGGTCCAGAAGAGCTTGGTTCAGGTTCTTCTCCAGGGCTAGGGCAGCTTCCATGGCGTCCAAGGTTTTACCCCACTCATCTTCAGATGGTTTCTATGCAGAAAATAAAAGGCACAGAAGCTGCCACGTTATCCTACACACCCACAGAGTTAACACTAGAACTCCCACAGCTGTCAGGGATGTGGCCCTAGACGACACTTGAGTCTGTATCACACCTCCAACTAAGGCACACATTCCCAAAACCCATTCTGCTAGCTGGCCTTGGGGGATTCCCCTCCCCTCCCAACTCCATGTCCATTCACAATAACATGCACAGAAAGTAACTCAACTTCCCAGAATCCCCAGCGGACACCTGACCTGCTAAGGCCGAGGAGCCCCGAGCGCAGGCCGGGCCTGCTGGAGTCACGGTCCATCTCTCCCTCCGCGTTTACCTGCACGTCTTGAAAGAGTACACGGCCGCCGCGCCGGTTTTGCATCTTCAGGAGATGCTCGGCTCCCTCGCGTTTCTCCTTCGCCAGCTCACGGAAGAAGTGGCCCACGCCCTCCAGAGCCACATCATCTCGGTCAAAGTAGTAGCCCTGCGGGAAGAGAAGGCGATAAATATGTGGCGGGAGGCGAGGCCAGGCGCTGGGCCTCCGCCCACTCTACTAAACAAAGAAGACTTGCGCGTGCGCACAGGCAAGAAGTGCGCAGTTAAGGGAAACTCGGGCCTGGGGCGTCCTGGGGACCCTTACCAGAGAGAGGTAGGTGTAGGAGGCCCGCAGGTGCAGGTTCACCAAGCGGTTGACAGCAGCCTCCACCTCGGTGGAATAATTCTGACGAATCTGAGAGGTCATGGCTGATCAGCAATAAGGAGCTACCCACAAAAGAACGGTGTTGTCCGGTCCTGGAAGGAGGCGATAGGCGAGAAGATGGTCCCGAAACTTGTACCTGGAAGGTGGATGGGAAGATGAAAGAGGAGTCCCCGGGTCTGTTCCGTCCAAACACTGTTGAAGCAAAAACAGATCCGCGGGACCTCCGGACGCGCCGCTGGGAGCAGAAGCTGGGCGGCGTCTTTTATAGCACCACGAATTTAGGGGCGGGGTGCTCAGAATAGAGAAAAAGGCCAATCCGCAGCGGAGGAAGGCAGGGCCCGGGGGCTGCGCCTAACCAATCCGGGGCCGATGGGAATCTCAACCCCCACTCCGAGCTGAAGGAGTCACGCGCCTAAAGCGCGAGGCTGTTGGGAAACGGGGAATGGGGGGCTAGGGGTGGGGATTCCGGGGCTAGTTTGGGGAAGTCAAAGGGCTCGGGGCGGGGGCTGGGTAGTGCCTTTCAGAGAAGTGAGCGATTTATTGGGACACTGGGGACCGCGGAAAATGATGACCTAGAGGCCATGAGAGGCAATCTCAGGAAGCAGGCTTCTGGTGGTGTGAAAACGTGGGCTTTTCTAGAAGATGCCCTGTCCTGGGGGTGGGGGAGGGTAGCCCACAAGGTGCTAAGGGGACCTAGGGCTTTCTTTGCATGATAAGGGGGTCTGCGAATCACTGGCAAATTTGGAAGCTGGGTGAGATTGTATTTCTAGGATCCGGGGAGTCCCGAGAGAGGTCATGGGAAATTTTAAAGAACGGGGTTCTGGAGCCCTCGGGACGCAGATGCTTGGACCCTTAGGGTGAGCTGCAAAATGGAAAGGGACCCTCAGGATCCGTGGGTGCACGTGCTGGTGTCTCTGGAAGCCTGGCAGAACGTTTTGACAACTAGGGTGGCGTGTGGAACTCCAGCAGGCCTCTTGCAGCCCCGGACACATGGGGAGCCGTTTAGCGGCACGGTATTGTCCTGGGAGCCAGGACTCCCTTGGAGGAAGGAAAGGACTCGCGTTTTGGGATCCCTGGGTCTACAGACGTGGGGCTGTTCGGGGGAAGCAGAGACTGAGAGCTTGGGGCCCTGAAAAAGAAAGTCTCTACAGTTCTAGTGCTTTCCCTGGCACCTCCTTCTTCCAGTCACAGCGAAGCCCTGGGCCCTGGAGAAACATGGCATGGGGGCCCGGGACAAGCTGCCGGCTTCAAAGTGTGCCAGCTTCTTCACCCTGCTGTCAAGAAGATGGAGCTGGCTCACACCACCCCCTGACCTCAGGGGGCTCACACCTCCACTAAGCCCCATCTTGGGGGCACCTCGAAGACAAGAGGGCCTTGCTCTTGTTTAGGTGTCCCCTGGAAGCGGCCCGGGGAGCGGGAGCCCCCGGGTGGGGTGAGCGGCTCTGTGCTGAGTCATGCTAACTCAGCGAGGGAAGGGGCTGGGGGCGGGGCGCTGACCTCAGCCCGGGGCCGCGCTGGGATTGACAGCCGCCTGGACCGGCCTGGGGCGGCCTGCATGCGACCTGTCACCGCCTCTGCCCCCTCCCCACCCGTTCTTTTTCTGCTTGCCACCTGTCGCAGTCTAGGCGACCCCTCTCCCGGGTGGCAAGCATGGCTCCCCTCATAGCTTTCCCGTGACGTGGTGTCTGGGGTGAGCGTCTAGGCGGGCCAGGAACCCAGCGCCCTGATTAGGGAAGAGTTACTCATTGACCACACGGGCTGCCACGGCGAGGGACCTTTAGCCTCAGGTAGGTCCGGGCGGGCGGCGACCTTGAAGGGGCCCCTCCCCAGGCGGGCGAAGAGGAGCAAGGGCTGTTACAAGATGACAGAAAACCAGGGGTTGGCAGAGACTGGAGGCTGGAAGGAAGACACAGACCCAGAGGAAAGAGACTGGGAGGGCAGAGAGACCTCTTTTAGAGACCTGCTTGATTCATTCAGATTATTTAATATACATAATATACAATAACACAACTGTGACCCCGAAGTGTGCCAGTTACAGCCTTCACCTGCAGCTGAGAGGGCAGGGCCGGCACACCTGGGGTTGGTGCCACATCGGGAATGATGGGCAGGTGGCCATCCTCAGGGAAGCTGCTTCCCCAGGTGGCCTGAGCAGGGCCCAGTAGCCTCAGGCCAGGGGAAGGAGGCAGAGACCGCCCCATGGCCTACGTCGGGAGCCCAGAGGGACACCTGGCTCAGAGGGCAGCTGAGGCAAAGCCAGGACAGCACCACTTCCTAGGGGAGGGTGGGGGGTGCCCTACAGAAGCCAGAAGGGACCAGCGGCCCCAGAGGTGACAACCAGGCACAACAGGAGACCTGAGGCACGCACAGGCCCTATGAGCCCGTGCAGGCTGGGATCAGGGGCTGAAGACTTGGGGGGGGGGGCTGGTAGCCCTAACTCTGTGAGAGGGGCGGAAGCAGATACTGAGAGCTCCTCAAGAAAGGAGCATTTAGAAACCCCTAATAGGGCTGGCTGGGTGTGGTGGGACATGCTGGCTATAATTCCAGCAGTCAGGAGGCTGAGGCAGGATTGCTGTGAGTTTGAGGCCAACCTGACTACACAGTGAGATCCTGTCTCAATCCCCTCTTCAAAAAAGCAAACAGGGTAGGAGACCAGAGGTGGAGGCAGGGGGAGGCCCATGCACATTCACAAGCAGTTCTGACAGGGAGTGGCCAGCTCTTGCCTCCTCTAGGCTCTCTGGGAGACCAGCACCCACCGGAGCTGGCCCAGCCAGACCTCCTCATCTGTTCCCTTAGCACTGCTTCAGGTTTGGGCCCCTCTACCTGTACCCACCCCACCCCCACCCGGGGGTCACCCTGCTACCTGGGCTCAGAGGCCTTGGCTGGCTGGGAGAGGCTGCCCTGGGTCCCTATCCCCTGCCCCAGCATACATCATAAGCCTGCGCTGCAAACAGTGGAATGACAGGCAGCCTTGGGCTCCTGGGGACTGGGCTAGCACCGAACCCTTTGTCCTGACTGTACTTGGTACCCCCAGACAAAGCCGGGCAAGTACTCCAGGTCTCCAAGGTGTCAGTGAGCAGACAGTGGTGGCAGCTGTGGCCTGCACCTTGCTGTCCCCAGGCTGCAGGGGCCAGTGACTCAGACTCCAGACTGTGGCCCGAAGGTGGTTTATTACCCCTGCGGTCCACACTTCCCTCCCCTCCCAATAATTACAAAAGTAAGAAAAATGCCCTGTCCCCAGTCCCCATTCCTCCCACCAAAAATGCCATAATTTATGCAGAAAAAACACAGTCCAAGGCGGCTGAGCCTCAGCCCATGTTCTTCCAGATGGTGAGCGAGGCGGTGAGCACGCCAGCCACGAAGATGGTCACCGTCTGCCAGGTCGGGGTTCCAAAGTAGGAAAGTAGGCCGTCCTAGGGACAGAGACATCACCTCAGATGCTCAGCACGCCGCCTCTGAGCCTGTGCAAGGTAATCAGGGATCCGGGGCCCAGGAGCTTGGGGACAGTGTCACAGGGACACCCAGGAACCTGCGGGCTAGACAAGTGGGGGCAGTGGGAAGGGCCAAAGCATGGTCAGGGGGCACAGGCTGACTCAGATTGACAAAGTATGTGAAGAAATGTGTCACAGGTGACCTGGGGTGGGAAGGGGTGTGCCGTGAGGGTCGGGGAAGGCCCAGGCATCTCACCCAACCACCCTGGTCCTGGATCCAGCCCAGCAGCCGGTCTCGGAGGAAGTCGAGTGTCCAGCCCATGATGGTTCTGATCAGCTCGGGGACCTTGGTACACAGCGCCTACGGTGCAAGGCATGAGGGACAGGCCTTGACCCTCTGCCTGGGGAAGGCCCCAGACCGCTTTTCCAGCCTCTGCCCCCTCTGGCTGTCTCTCCCTCCCCATTAGAAGTCAGCTTAATAAACGGTAAACCAAGTCACACTGCTCTCACCTACCCTGCTCCTGAGCCCTGAGGCTCCCCAGTGCCCTCAGGATTCCAGAGGGCTCCAAGCTGACACCAGCTCACTATGCTGCTTTTGGTGGGTACCTAACATGCCCTCTTCTGTTTGTCTGTGGTACTGGGGATTGAACCCAAGGCTGGGTTATAGCCCTAGCTTCTCCCACTCCTTTGAAACAGGGTCTGGCTAAATCGCCTGGGCTGGGCTTGAATCTGTGACCCAGATCATCCAGAGGGCTAGGATTACAGGTGTACCACCGTGCCTATAGGGCTGGTTGTTCTGTTTAGTCACAGGGTCTCACAACACCCAGGCTAGTCTGAAACTCCCTAACTCCAACAAGCCTCCTGCTTCAGCCTCCTCAGTAGTCAGAACTAGGTGTGTGGCACCATGCCTGAAGGTCTACATTTTCATGTCAAATTCCTCCCTGTGGGCCGGGGACATGGCTCAGTGGAATAAGCGCTTGTCTGGCAAGCACAAGGGCCTGAGTTCAATCCCCAGTTCCACGTGGGAAAAAAAAAAAAAAAAAAAATTCCTCCCTGCCTCAGGACCTCTGAATATGCTGAACCTTCTGACTAAATGGACCCCAACTCAGCAAAGTCCCACTTTCAGCTCAAAGGCTGGGTCAAATGTGACTTCCTGAGTGGGCCTTTGCTGAACACCCCCACCCTGACTTACTCTCTCAACTCCAAAGACTGCCAGTCATCTGCCTGCTTCTCCACTTGTCCCAGTGTCGGAGCACCCTACTGTCACACTGATGGCTGTCCCCTTCAGCCCTCAACACTGATGCCCCATCACACAATCCCCAACACGCCAGGGGCTTGGAGTACAACCTAGCAATAGTGCGCTTGGCAGATGCAAACCTGGGGGTGATTCCTCCACACACCTACACACGAGGGTGTGTGCACGCAGGTACACGCATGTACTGTCCACCTCCACCGCAAGTACCTGAGGCCAGGGACCATGTGTGTATGGGGGGTGCTGGGGTCAAACCCCAGGCCTTGCACATGTAGGTACACACCTAGGACAACCCAGGCCTGTCTTTTTTGTGTTCTGAGACAGGGTCTCGGTGTGTACGTGAACTATAGCCCAGGCTGGCTTTAAATATGCAGCCACCCTTCTGCCTCAGCCTATCACATGGTGGAATCATGGGTGTCCACCCACCCCAGCAGACCTGTCCTCTTTTTTTCTGCAGTACCCAAGGTTCTTCCATGCAGCTATATCCCCAAACTTTTATTTTTTTAAGACAGGAGCTAAATGACTTGCTTAGGCAGGA